TACTCGACGAGTGCGATCAAAAAAATCAATTATTCCAACCGATGACGTCTCTGGCACAATACCAGGAGACATAAATATCTAGCCAGAGCGCAATCTGCACCAACTCTTCAGAGTTGTGTTAGTCCTACCATCCTACCTGGTGCAGTTAGAGAATTTTTCACTACAAATGGTAAGCCAGGGAAAACAGCTCTGAGGGGCACGTGCAGTCACAACGGCTACCTTTTTGGTCGTTGCGTCCCCAACGCGCTTACCCACGTATTTCCGTCCAACGATGAGCAGGTTGGTTATCCGGGGAACGACCGAGACAAGATATTCTTTTGTTAGCGGCGTATCTCCCTCCATCACAGTCTCCGCGTACATCGAGACTCTAAGGGTAAGAATCAAGCTACCCGTAGCCAGCTCTTCATCATCAGGAATAATAATAAAGAATAGCCTCGAAGTTTCACCACTGGCGCTTTTTAGGGCCATTACAAGTATTTACGTTCCCTACTTAACCATCATTTCATCGGTTTTTTTTTAGGAACCACCTAAGTGTAAACTACCTTGCCAACAAATACATTTTTATTATCATTTTTGGAAGCGATTCGTCGACTAAAAGACTATATTAACTAAAGACGGGCACTATTAAACCAAGTCAGCCATTCACTAGTAGACGTCACCTCCGGAGTTGTTCTTCGCAAGGCTGGAAAACCCGGTGACCGACGACCCTATATTACCCTCTCGACTCTAAGCAGTCAACCAGGAATCACTGATCCTCTCCAAGGTCTGCGCTGGACAAACCTATAACAGCTATGAAGGAAAAAAAACTTGAGCCAACGGGACAGCCTACACTGGACAAGTATAACTAACCAATCTCCCCATCTAAGATCACCAAAACAACTGAATCTGCAAATGAAAAAGGTGCTTTAGACACTAACGTCTTCGACGTTATACCGTAAGACGTTGGGAAAGAGCACTACAACTAGCCCCAAAGCTTCGGACTTTGTAATTTTTCTCCCGATCAGTCTGGGTCTTTAACAACAGGCCAGAGAACATTACCCTGAGGTATCCAGGCAGTCACAATTGCTGTTAACTGCAGTCAAGAAAGAGTTAACTAAAGAAGCTCACCGGTCTTTTTTAGGGCAATCGGACGTCGAACTACTTTGCCAACAAATATATTAGAACTTAACAAAGTTGACAGAAAACAGCTTTTAAGGGTCACAAAAACTTT